ATCGAAGGTTGAACCAACTCGTCTAAAAAAAATTAATGTAAGATATTTATTTATTTAGATTTAGTGTTTCACACTATTGCTCACAAAAATTCAAGGTGACGTTGAAATTGCAACCACTATTCAAACGCTCTATTACATATGTAATGAAGAATGATTCTGACTTTGGGGAGCAAGCGGTCGGCTTCGGGAGGCAGCACGAATATGCAGACTTCACATGGTATCCGAGTCAAAAACGAGTTGTGTATCGATTTGATGACCGAGTCCCGTCCAACACGTCCGGGAATGGTCTCCTTAATTTTCCAGGTTTTCGCTCTACAGCCTCACTAGTTCTATCAAGTTTAAGAATAACAGGTGGGTACAAATTCTATAATTATTACTAGCTTCCATTAATTATTGAGGTCATTTTTAATATACTAGCTAGTTTCCTTCAATTAATTTGGTGGTTGCCTGTTCAATAACAGAGGAAACTGAAGAATCCCTTGGTGATGCTAATGGAAAATGCATAAATGGCAGATTGACTACTTCCACTTTGAAAACGGCGGCATATGGGTTGACAAATGATGGTATTTATTTTCGGCCAATGCAATGATAATATTCATCCTCGTTTACTAGACTAAAATATTCATAAAGGTTTTTAACATTCATAGGTAGGAAAAAAAAAAGTGATTTATGTGTGAAATAATGTTTAAAAGTGTGTGTGTGTGAAAACAGCTAAATTTATCGAAAAATTATGCGATTTTGACAGGAATTTTGTTTACTGGCTATCCTGTGGTGGGAAATCACAATCGGCTCCAAGCATCAGGGACCTGCCTGGACAGCCTCGAGGATTTGACAATTTCTGCATGTCCATGGGATCATCGGGTCAAAGGTCTATTTTTTCACCAAACTACATTTAGCATTTCCTTGTCCAAAGTGAAAAATTTCATTGAAGATGTACAGAAGCTAGTGGCCCTGGAACCTAAGTCATTGTGTGGCTTGGATCTATACAATGGAATACTAATGAGATATGTTACGGCTTCTACCGCGTATCTGGGGAAACAAGAAGATGCATTGGATTTTGACATTACATACTACAGAAGCAAGGATCCGATGAGCCCCAGACTGTATGAAGACATTTTGGAAGAAATAGAGCAGATAGCAATCTTCAAGTATGGTGCCTTGCCACACTGGGGAAAGAATCGGAACGTGGCATTTGATGGGGTGATCAAGAAATACAAAAATGCTAGTGAATTTCTCAAGGTTAAAAACAAATATGATCCACATGGGTTGTTTTCCAGCAGTTGGACAGATCAAATTCTTGGATTAAAGGGAGTGGTGACTATTGAAAAAGAGGGATGTGCTTTGGAAGGATTGTGTCTATGCTCTCAGGACATTCATTGCGCCCCTAAGAAGAACTATTTGTGTCGACCCGGTAAAATATACCAGGAAGCTAGAGTTTGTACTAAGGCTGATGCTAACAAAAAATCTGCAGAACAAGTTACTTTTCAGGGAAAATGAATTTCAGTTTCACATAGTACGTCTAAGTCTTATATTAATTATAATGGAGATAGAAGTTAATCATAATAAAGATTTCCATGCACTAAATGCAATTCCCTAGTCTGATCTTTTGTGTGGATTATCTCGTGGTTTTAAGCTTTACTCGATTTTTTTTTTTTTTTAAATCAAATATTTTGATGATACACTCACGAAATGCATTTGTTACTTTGATAACTAGGAGAGATGTTCCAGGAGTAGGTTTCAAGAGCATTTGTGCATGTAATTTCGAGTAACTTAGGACGTGTTTGGTTTGCAATTTTCAATTTTAAGTTTTCCAGAACACTTATAACTTTTTTGTTTGTTATTTTCCAAAATAGAATTCAAAAAATAAGGTCAAATTTATAACATAAACCTTGGTATTTTGAGTGGTTTATGTGCAAACAATGAAAATACTGAAAATATGATAAATAAATGTTTAAATAAAATTTATTTATTTAAAATTCTGAAAATTAAAAACTCCAAAAAATAAAAATATATAAAAATTTGGAAAAAATAAATTCCCAAGTTCTAAAAATATAATAAATTTTGAAAAATAAAGCCTATGTTTAGCCCCAATTTTTTCAAAAACTCATTTTTCAACTATACTTTTTCCCATAAAATAATTTTACAAGTAAATACAAATTTTTTCCTTATTTTTAAACCGCACGTTTTACTACAAAACACTATTGCAAAATGCGTTTTACCAAAAAAAGGGGCTCAAACAAGGACTAAAATTCTAGAAAAATAAAATATCAAAATAATTCAAACTTTTAATGATTATTTACATAAAAAATTTTAAAAAAATTATTCAAGTGAGCACAGACAAAATTTTTCAATCCAAGTCATTATTTTTTAATTTTTGTATTTTGCCAACTCAAATTATTATTTATTTTTATTTTACTTTTGTAGTGAAAAAATATTGTAAAACTTATCAACTTTAAGATGTATAAATTACTTATTAAGATATTAATATAAAATTGTTCTATTTAACTAAATAATCAAATTCCATAAAATAAAATGCAATAAAATAATTTCCTAAAATTTCAAACTAAACGTGTCTTTTAATTTTCTATTTTGAAAAAGTGAAATTTTAGAATGATAAATCAAACATATGTTTTACAATCTTAAAGCAGCCCCTCAAATCAGAAAATTGAAAATAAACTTAAAATTCAAAATTGAAAACTGAAATGAAAATCAATATGGCATAAGCCATGTTTGATATCGCAACTTTTCCATGGAAAATGGAAAAGATTTTCCCTTTTCCATGGTTTTAAATGTTTGATGGCATCAATTTTATAGGTAATTGAAATTCCAACTTTCAGTTGCACGTGCACCTTTTCCACGAAATGGAGGAATTCATTTTCTCATGTATTAGGTGGTTTTTCATTTTCAAAGTTGACTTTTTTTTTTAATTTTTTTTATTTTTTGCAATGGAAACAAATTTTATTAACAATTGTAACAAATTCTTTCATTTTAGTGGACAATTTTCATACAAAATAAAGTCAAACGAATATCAAAATATAGATGATTTTCTTATTTTTTAATTTTTTTTTACAATGGAAAAAAAATTTATTCCTATTACCAGTAAATTCTAACCCCTTAACTGACAATTTTCATATAAAACAAAGCCAAACGAACACAAAAAAATATTTTTATTTCAATATTTTTCACGTGAAAAATTATACCAATTAAACACAATAATTCACAATTTTTAGGAAAATAATTTCTAGACAATTCAATTTCCTGAAATTCATTTTCTTCCCACCCAAATTTCATCTTTGCAATCAAACGGACCCTTGGAGTGTGTTTGATACACCCAAAATTTTCATGGAAAATGGAAAACCAATTCCAATTCCATGTTTTTACTTGTTCGATATCTCTATTTTTCCATGAAATTCATTTTCTAACTTTTCATGCCATATAGGATTTTTCTTACTTTTCAAAAAATTCCTCGGTTATAGTAGCACTTTTTTATTTTTTTCCAATTTTTATTTTTTTATTTTTTTTGGGAATGGAAAAAAATTCTAAGAATTATCGTAAAAAAGTATTTCCCCTTCTATATAAAACAAAGTCAAACGAACACCAAAAAATAGATGATTTTATTGGATTTTTTTTGTTGGTAGTGGTAACAAATTTCATCCCCAATACCAGTAAATTCTATCCCTTTAATCGATCATTTTCATGTAAAACAAAGTCAAAAGAATATCAAAAAATACTTTTATTTCAACATATTTTACGTGAAAAATTATACTAGTCAAACACAATAATTTAAAATTCTCAAGAAAATAATTTTTAGGCAATTCAATTCCCTGAAATTCATTTTCTTTCCACTCAAATTCTTTGCAATCAAACGGGCCCGTAGTGTTTCTCTTGATGTAGCCACTTTCTTAAATATTCGTACGTGTTAAAAGATTCCTCCCCTAGCCTAAAGAGGCCCCACCTTTTGGAAGGCCACAAGAGGAACTCTCTCGTTAGCATGTTTGGAAAGCGTTTGTAAATTTTTATTTTTTAATTATAAATAGATAAGTACGAGTAGTGAATAAGTAGGAAGTATTTGTGAATCCCTTAAAATGTAATTTGACTTTTTTTCAATAGGTTATAATAATGAGCAGAACATAGGCAAGTTGTGTATCTCTAATTAGATACAAAGTATGGCATAACTACCATCTTATCTATATAAATATAAGTTGGCAATAGCCCCTCGGGGCACAGCTTAACTGGTGGATCAATCAACATGTCTTGCTTCCAGCGGCAGGGTGGAGGTTCGAATCCTGGTGGGAACCTGCCGCCAGATTTATTTGGTATGGAGCAATCACTTTGGAGGAGGATCTCTTGTGCGCAGTAGTGTACAGGCGGTGGGGGGAACCTGTGATCCAGTTGAGGCATAACCCGCGATTTACCCCCTTCAAAGTTTTAGGGGCAAGGGTCTTGAGGGTCCAGGATTTAGTCTAGTGTAAGTTGGGATACCTGGATTAAAAAAAAAAAATATATATATATATATGGCAAAAACCTGCTAAACTGGAGCAATGACACTCTACTAGTTACCCTAAACTAGAGCAATGACACTCTACCTAGTTACCCTATACGGTTATTTCAGAATTGCTCTCTTTCCCGAATCGGGAAGAGAGCTTTTTCCCGATTTTCAATTTTTTATTCATTTTATTGCCTTCTGCCTTTTTCAACTCCCCACCTCCTAACCCGGCCACCCCCTACCCATTTACTAATTTTTGTACAATATCTTAAGGGTACGATTTAAATGGTGTAAAAAAAAATTTGTGCAATACCCTTAAGAAAAAAAAGAATTGAGCGAATGGAATGTCATACAGTCGCCTAGAGCTGTTACTCTATTCTCGCTCAAACCTTCAAGTCGCCCAAGATCTTAACAAACATAAAGCGTCGTGGTTATTAAGAAGTGCAGTTATCAAAGCAGTTATTAAAGCAGCCCTATCATATTCCACGATTCAAGAAATTCAATCGAAAGCGGTTGAACGATGAAGGGTAATGACAGCAGTTAAAAATGCAGTTTTCATGACAAGATGGCCTTTACGAAGAAAGTGGGTAGTTATAGGACGATCAAGCAGTTTTTAGAGCGGTTTATCACAAAGAGATCGTCCATGAAGTATAAAAGGGAGAAAGGACATAGAAGCAAAGGACCGAATCCAAAACTCTCGAAAAGAGAACATGTAATTTTCATTTCCTTAGTTTTTAGATTTAAACACTTTTGTTTCAGTAACTCGTGTGCTTGCGCCCCTTGGAGGCATGTTGTTTTTCATTTCCAATTGTAAAGTCATCGCCAATAAAAGAACACCCCTTTTTGGGACTTTGTCTCAACAGGTTTTGTCCCTTACACAATCGTCTGATCTTTTTTAATTGTTAGCGACTAACCCGCGCGAAACAGTTTGTAAATTTATTTATCTTAATTATAAATAGATAAATATGAGTAGTGAATAAGTAAGAAGTATTTGTGAGTCTTTTAAAATGTATAGATAAATGTAATTTGACTGTTTTTCAGTAGGTTACAATAATGAGGCAAACATAGATTAGTTGTGTACGTCTAATTAGATACCAAATTTGGCATAACTGCCATCTTAGTTCTATACAAATTTAAGGTGGCAAAAACTTGCCAAACTAGAGCAATGACACTCTACTAGTTAGCTCTTATGGATCTATTTACCTATAATTTAAAAGAACTTTGACAAACAGGGGCTTAATCGTACCATATATAGGAATTGTTTGAGTCCTTTTTTTTTCAAAAAATGTATTTTCAAATAGTATTATGATAGAAAATGTGAGGTTAAAATATAAAGAAAAGTTTTGAATTTACGTGTAATATTATTTTATTTAAAAATGTAGTTGAAATGAGGTCAAATCACGTTGAAAAATGAATTTTGATGAAAAAAATATGGCTCAAACAAGGGCATATATATAGAACTCAATAAAATTTGATAATTGACTTTATTTATCCTCCTATTATTATTATTATTATTATTATTATTATTTTGCCGTTTATAAATATTTATTATTATTATTATTATTATTATTATTACTGTGCCGTTTATAAATATTTAGTACCTATTATTATTATTATTATTATTATTATTATTATTATTATTATTATTATTATTATTATTATATTGTGGCGTTTATGCACATTTAGTACCTTTAATTATCAAATTAATCTAACCATATATGGTTTTATACAGCTCAACCAAATTGCATAATTGACTTTAGTTATCCTCCTTTTTTTTTCTTTTCCAATTTTGTTTCATCCATGAACATTCAGTACTCTTGGTTATCAAATTAATGTTCCTACTTCCAAGCGGAGGCTGAGCTAAATTAAATGCCATCCTCCTAAACCTATATTTCCTTCTATCTTATAGCAAATACTCTACCTAATTATTGGGATGATAAAAAATATCGACAATTTTAGCTTCTACACGCGTTAAGCCAACTTATATAGTGCACATGATGAGGAAACCGCAATTAAAAATAACTTATAAGTTGCCGATGTGTTAATAAACTATTCGTGCAAAATTCGCAAACGTACGGGATCGTTGACAAGTAATATGTGATGAGTAGCGTATATC